AGTTTACCTGGAGAGAGTTTCGGGGGTCAACGCCCCCGCGGCCCGGTCTGTGACCAGGCCTCCTGGTGGATCAGCGCCTGATCAACCAGGCTGTTGCTGCTGGCTGCACGCAAACCAACGTACGAGCCACAGCCCGGCTGATCAGGAACTGACTTTAGGTGCTTGTCCAGTGCCAGCTTGAAGACTGCCAGGGGTCTGTTGGTAATCCCCCTTATGTGTGCTGGGAGACAGTTGAACAGTCTCGGGCCCCTGACACTTATTGTATGGTCTCTTAACGTGCTAGTGACACCCCTGCTTTTCATTGGGGGATGTTGCATCGTCTGCCAAGTCTTTTGCTTTCGTAGTGAGTGATTTTCGTGTGCAAGTTCGGTACTAGTCCCTCTAGGATTTTCCAGGTGTATATAATCATGTATCTCTCCCTCCTGCGTTCCAGGGAATACAGGTTTAGAAACCTCAAGCGCTCCCAGTAATTGAGGTGTTTTATCTCCGTTATGCGCGCCGTGAAAGTTCTCTGTACATTTTCTAGGTCGGCAATTTCACCTGCCTTGAAAGGTGCTGTTAGAGTGCAGCAATATTCCAGCCTAGATAGAACAAGTGACCTGAAGAGTGTCATCATGGGCTTGGCCTCCCTAGTTTTGAAGGTTCTCATTATCCATCCTGTCATTTTTCTAGCAGATGCGATTGATACAATGTTATGGTCCTTGAAGGTGAGATCCTCCGACATAATCACTCCCAGGTCTTTGACGTTGGTGTTTCGCTCTATTTTGTGGCCAGAATTTGTTTTGTACTCTGATGAAGATTTAATTTCCTCATGTTTACCATATTTGAGTAATTGAAATTTCTCATCGTTGAACTTCATATTGTTTTCTGCAGCCCACTGAAAGATTTGGTTGATGTCCGCCTGGAGCCTTGCAGTGTCTGCAATGGAAGACACTGTCATGCAGATTCGGGTGTCATCTGCAAAGGAAGACACGGTGCTGTGGCTGACATCCTTGTCTATGTCGGATATGAGGATGAGGAACAAGATGGGAGCGAGTACTGTGCCTTGTGGAACAGAGCTTTTCACCGTAGCTGCCTCGGACTTTACTCTGTTGACGACTACTCTCTGTGTTCTGTTAGTGAGGAAATTATAGATCCATCGACCGACTTTTCCTGTTATTCCTTTAGCACGCATTTTGTGCGCTATTACGCCATGGTCACACTTGTCGAAGGCTTTTGCAAAGTCTGTATATATTACATCTGCATTCTTTTTGTCTTCTAGTGCATTTAGGACCTTGTCGTAGTGATCCAGTAGTTGAGACAGACAGGAGCGACCTGTATTAATGTTGGTAGAATTATCGACAATATGTCGGTGATACAGCCCACTCTGTGGGCGAAACGTTGTCAATAAAGGATCGTGTTATACTGCATTTGACTTCATCTATGATCACGGTATTTTATACCATTTCTTTCCAAACATTCTTTACCCACCTTGACTTAACAGATGAGTAGTGTTAACGTTGTGACTGTCTTCTCTCTATATAATTCATGTTTATCTTATTGTAAGTTCTTCAAGGTGGACATCAAAGATTTTATTTTCAGGTCTTGGTGCTGTAGCAACTCGGTGTGTGTGCGCGCGCGTGTGTGTGTATACTGGCTTAATTATGGTTGCAGGGGTCAAGACTCGGCTCCTGGCCCCGCCTCTTCACTGAGTGCTACTAGGTCCTCTCTCTCCCTGCTCCATGAGCTTTATCATACATCTTAAAGCTATGTATGGTTCCTGCCTCCACTGCCTCATTTGCTAGACTATTCCACTTCCTGACTACTCTATGACTGAAGAAATACTTCCTAACATCCCTTTGACTCATCTGAGTCTTCAACTTCCAATTGTGACCCCTTGTTTCTGTGTCCCCTCTCTGGAGCATCCTGTCTCTGTCTACCTTGTCTGTTCCACGTTATCATGTCTCCCCTAACCCTCCTGTCCTCCAGTGTCGTGTGTGTGTGTGTTTACTCACTTATTTGTGGTTGCAGGGGTCCATTATTGTGTGTGTGTGTGTGTGTGTGTGTGTGTGTGTGTGTGTGTGTGTGTGTGTGTGTTGTGTATGCTCACCAGCCAACAGGCTCTAAACTGCCAGACTAATCGACCAGGTGCTACCAATCTATCCCTTCACTGCAATGCCTTTGCTATGAGACAATGTACCCAAGCGGTGATATCCTTGCCATGAGAGCGTGTTCAATCATTTACGCTACGAGTGTGTTCGTCACACAGTAGCCGGTAAACAGAACTCAAGAGCCCAGATAAACACCCGGGTGTTACCGTATACAGGCAAGTTCCTCACATCTGCTGAAGACTTCCCTGCATACACTTATAGGCATGGTAGCGTCTTCTTGGCAATTTTTATCCACTATTAAAATGTTGTAACTTTGAACAAATATGTCGGAGGTACACTCCACGCTGCTACCTCATCTGTTTAATGCGTGTGTGTGTGTGTGTACTCACCTATTTGTGGTTGCAGGGGTCGAGTCATAGCTCCTGGGTGTGTGTGTGTGTGTGTGTGTGTGTGTGTGTTGAAACGCTTATTTAAATCCTTGATCTGGGACAGTTGTACCGGTAGCACTAAAATTCTTTCCAGAAACATCTGTCGCTTCATCATATTTGCTGGCTAAATGAAAGACGAAAATCTTGTGGCCATCTTCCATCACAGGCGAGGCATGTTATCTTTCCCGGCGTCCTCATAGAGATACATTGGCGCTGGAAAGTGCTCTCCCTTCAAAAATTTCCGCTGATGCCATCAAAATCACATCGTATCGTGAGAAGCTTGCCAGACACGGTGACTCGGTAGCATATTTTCAGAGAGACTGATATTTCACAGTAGACCACGTACACTGCAAACATGTACACGTCCCCTAGAACCATGCACACGGGACCACGGACCACGCACAGTCATAAAAGGATCACACAGACTCGCACCACGCACCAGATCAGAAGCACTTAACTCTCCATGTAAGTAGAGAATTAAATAATGCACATAGAGCCTCAGCTCACTCAGCGACACCACATAATGTTGGGGAAGCCAGCTGAAGCCGACCATTGATCATAGTCCCCGGGAACACCAGAGTGCTCACGAATACAATCACTTACGACACCGTTATTGATAACATTTTGATCACTTCAAATAAGGCGAATCACACGTATTTGAAGTGATCAGGTACCGAAACGCCATAAGTAAAGGTGTCCAAAGTGAATACCTTCCATTTCCCTTAAATTGTTAGCAGTCATTTGCCTTCTTAATACGCAGATTGAAAGTCATTGCCATTGGTTAGTTTGTGAAGTACATCGCCGGTAGAAACCAGACGTTAAACTTGCATGTTACCTCAACACCGTAATCAGGAATATTGTAATCCCTGAAATGGAGATTAAGGTAAGGTACATCTCTGAGTATATATACTTGTACTGTTGTTCAGTTACTGGCACTGTTGTTCAACGACTTGTATTATTGTTCACTTGCACTATTGTTCAGTTACTTTTTCATTTTGCAACGAAAGTAAAGGAAAAATCCAAAATATTTATCCCTGATAGAGAAAATAAGAATTTTTTAAGTAAAGTGAACCTTTATTGAAAATTAAACTTCGGTTCTGAATCTCCATTCCGAAGGTATAAGTTTCACGGTGGAGCTTTAATCAGGTTTAATTCAAGAGGGAGGTAGCTCTAATTCCTTGGATGAAGAGCATCTCACAATGGTCAAAGTGTAAATATAGTGATATTAGTATAATAAATTTGTATGTTCTTGTTATTTTTCCTGCATTTTTACAAGATGTTAGGTACTACTATAAGACTTAGTTTTATCTTAACTGGAGTTCCTTGATGATGGTAAAAGTTTAACATTAATAGTATACAATAACGACAAGGTAATGGATTATGATACTTGTCTGACACAGCATTACCATGGTATGATTTATTTCCACTAGTGGGCCCCGCCCGTCGGTGGCATTGCCTTCAGCTGCTGCACGACATCTGACTCGAGTATATAAACGTGCATCATTTAGCCTATGTTTCACATTCATTAAGACTACGATAGTGAACACCTTCACGTCTGAGGGACTGATTACCTCATCTATTGTCTCCAGTAAATGAGCTTTGTACTGAAATGGTTTGAGAAATGTCTTCAGATCAGAGATTTCCATATGTGGTACATGTAGCTAATTCATCATGGCAAACGCGTCTTGATCCGAAGAATTGGAGTTGTTTTCCCCATTCTTAGATAAAGCTTTTACCTCCCATTTGCCGAATGGTGTCTAACTTTCATGGGCTTAACAATTTTCCATAAATATAATAACAATAACAATTACTATTGCTTCTACAACTATTACTGCTGTTTCTACTATTCCTGCTGATACTACTACTGTTGCTACTACTATTATTACTACTACACTACTATTACTACTACACTATTATTACTACTACACTACTATTACTACACTATTACCACTACACTACTATTACTACTACGCTATTACTACTATACTACTATTACTACTACTATACTATTACTACTACTATACTACTACTACTACTATTCTACTATAACTACTACTATTCTATTACTACTATTATTACTACTACTATTTCTACTATTATTACTATTACTATTTCTACTATAAATAATAATTAACAAAGAGTCCAATAAATATGAGATGGCAGGAAACATCAGACTGTTAAAACACACTCATGGACGAATGAACCCAAAACAGTGTGTCGAGCGTGTTGCTGCTTGGTTAATGGGTTCAAATCTTGTCTACTACACGAGGGTCATCTAACCACCAGTCAAGAATACTTAATCTTTAAAGTAAGGGTTACAGTAAGCTCTGACTGTATAAGCGTTGAGAGACATACACTTCTCAGTGTATATACCCGAGTGTGTTCACGATAAGCTTCATTGAGTGAGCTTCTCTGAGTGGTTTCGCTGAGTGTTCGAAACCCAGGCTGTTTCGCCGGTATAGTCTCGACTCAGGGACGAGACCGGAGTGTGTACGTGTGCACAGTAGCTGCCCGCGGTAGTGACAAAATTGTGACAAAAACAGTGAACAGTGATCCGTCAGTGATAATCCCTTCTAGGAAAGTGCCATGATGTTGACGAAGGGCTTTTGATCCAAGGAAGTGCAAGTGCTTTCTTCTTCCTTGGATCATACCTGGCGCTGCATGGTATTATTGTATTGTTGATGTGTTTGTGTGATTTTTATAAAGCAGTGACAATTGTTATAAATGTTCCGTCAAATGTTCCGTGAAATGTTCCATCAAATGTTCCGTCAAGTGTTCAATCAAGTGTTCCTTTAATAGTGTTCTGTTTACTGGGTTCTGTTGACCTAATTATCGAGTCGTACCGCAGCAGCCACTGAGAATAATGAATTGGTAAGTACACATTGTACTAGTTCCGTACTATCATGGTAAGTACACACTGCATCAGTTCTGTACTATCATGGTAAGTACATACAGGAAAAGGTTCCGTACTATCATAGTAAGTTCATACATCATTAATTCCTTACTATTATAGTAAGTACTCGTAATATTATTTCTGTACTGTGATGGTAAGTACACGTACATTGTTTTTGAACCGTCATTGTATTAGATATTTATTATAATGAATTACGACAACTGAAACTGCAGCCCCATTACATAACTCAAAGAAATGTAATGCTTCTTAACGATGATTATATTTATACTGGTAATAATAACATTGATAATAATTACACAACACTAACAATGTAACTGAATCGTCACATAATTTGCATTAATTATATTTAGGTGTAATTTAATAACCGTAAATATTACCCTAATTAAATAATTGAAAATTTTTAATTTTTAATTAATTTCACAGAAAAGAAGTTAAAACATTAAATCTCGCAATGTTAATTTTTTAAAAATTCACTTGAAATTGCTTAGTAAATGTGCTCATTAATAGTTATTAAGATACAGTATGAAGAACAAGCTTTTATGGAACTGACGTTTCGCCCAGGGTAGAGCTCAGCCCTGAGCCAAACGTAGTTTCAAAGCAAGAACTGCTGTTCATTGTGTCTCGACGTTCATTCCTATCTGCTTTACGTCTCTACATCCAGGATGATTATTGCATTTATTTTAATCCTTCCTTTTGGGATTAAAGAATCCTCGATTGACAGCTTACAGCTTGTATGACACACGTGTAACTTAATGCATGTGGACACAAATTCAGCTTACGGAAAAGTTTATCCCATGAGGAAGCTTAGTCAAGCTGTTACATACATGGTGTGTGTGTGTGTGTGTGTGTGTGTGTGTGTGTGTGTGTGTGTGTGTGTGTGTGTGTGTGTGTGTGTGTGGGTACTCACCTAGTTGTGGTTGTAGGAGTCGAATCACAGCTCCTGGCCCCGCCTCTTCATTGGTTGCTACTAAGTCACTTCCTGCTCCATGTGCTTTATCATACCCCTTCTTAAAGCAATATATGGATCCTCCCTCCACTACATCACTTCCCAGACTATTCCACTTCGTGACAACTCTGTGACTGAAGAAATACTTCCTAATATCCCTGTGATTCATCTGAGTCTTCAACTTCCAACTGTGACTCTTATTACTGTGTCCCATCTCTAGAACATCCTGCCTCTGTCCACCTTGCTGATTCTTCTCAGTATTTTATATATCATTATCATATCTCCCCCTATCTCCTCTGTCTTCCAGTGTCGTCAGGTCAGTTTCCCTTAAACTCTCCTCGTATAACATGCCCCTTAGCTCCGGGACTAGTCTTGTTGCAAATCTTTGCACTTTCTCTAGTTTCCTTACGCGCTTGGCTAGATGTGGGTTTCAAACTGGCACTGCATACTCCAATATGGGCCTAACTTACACAGTGTACAGGGTCTTGAACGATCCCGTATTAAGATGTCGGAATGCTGCTCTTAGGTTTACTAGTCGCCGCATGCTGCAGCAGTTATTTGATTGATGTGCCCGGTGTTATACTCACCCCAAGATCCTTTTCCTTGAGCGAGGTTTGTAGTCTCTGGCTTCCTAGCCTATACTCTGCGGTCTTCTTTGCCCTTCCCCGATCTTCATGACTTCGCATTTGGGGGAAGGTTAAATTCGAGGAGCCAGTTGCCTGACCAGGCTTGCAGCCTGTCCAGGTCTATTTGTAGTCCTGCCTGGTCCTCATCTGATTTAATTCTCATTAACTTCACATCATCTGCAAACAGGGACACTTTGTCTATCTCCTCTGTCATGTCATTCACATATACCAAAAATAGCACTGGTCCTAGGACTCTAATGTGGAACCCCACTCGTCATACGATCCCACGGTGATACCTCATGACGTACCATGACTCGATGTTGCCTCCTTGTCAGGTATTCTCCGATCCATTGCAGTGCCCTTCCTGTTATACATGCCTGATCCCCTAGCTTTTGCACTAATCTCTTGTGAGGAACTGTGTCGAAGGCCTTGAAGTCCAAGAAAATGCAATCTACCCACCCCTCTCCCTCTTGTCTTACTTCCGTTACCTTTCATAAAACTCCAGTAGGCTTGTGACACAGGATTTGACTTCCATGAATCCGTGCTGGTTGTCGTTTATAAGCTTGTTCCGTTCTAGGTGCTCCACCACTCTCCCCCCTCAAGGAAGGTTCCTTGATGTTGGTGAGGGGCTCTTGATTTAGGGAATTGGATCTGTGCTCCAGTTCCCCGAATTAAGCCTGAATGCCTTCCACATCCTCCCCCCAGGCGCTGTATGCTGTATAATCCTCCGGGTTTAGCGCTTCCCCCTTGATAATAATAATCCACCACTCTCCTTCTGATAATCTTCTCGATGACTTTGCATACTATACACGTCAGTGACACTGGTCTATAGTTTAGTACCTAGTTTGTCTCCTTTCTTAAAAATGGGGATTGCTTTTGCCGACTTCCATACCTCCTGTAGTTGCCCAGTTTCAATGGATGTGTTGAAAATTGTGGTTAGTGGTTGTACACAGTATCTCTGCTCCCTCTATAAGGACCCATAGAGAGATGTCCGGTCCCACCGCCTTTGAGGTATCCAGGTCACTTCTTAGCTTCTTCACCTCCTCGGTTGTATTTCATCCAACGCCTGTTGGTATATACCATGTTGGTGTACCCCTCTGTTCTGACCTCCCAGAGTCCTTTCTGTCTCCACTGTAAATACTAACTTAAATCTCGTGTTGAGCTCGTCACATACTTCTTGGTCATGTCTTGTGAGCTCCCCACCTTCTTTCCTCAACAGCTTAGGCCCAGACTTGACTTGCGATGCTATGTCGTTTTTGTACTGTTGCTGGGCCTCCCTCCTTATCTGTGCATGCTCGTTTCTGGCTCTTCGGCTGATCACACTATTTTCCTGGGTCCTTTGTCTTCTGTAGTTTTTCCATTCTCTAGTGCACTTTGTGTTTGCTTCCCTACACCTTTGGGTAAACCAAGGGCTTGTTCTGGTCTTCCCATATTTCTGTTGCCCTTGGGAACAAACCTTTCCTCTGCCTCCTTGCATTTCGTTATATAGTCCATTTTATTTACTGACTTCCTTACTAATTCTCTTTCCCACTGAACCTCCTGCAGGATGTTCCTCATACCAGTGTAATCCCCCCTTTTGTAGTTTGACTCTTCTCATTCTACTCCTGTTACCCTCTCCACTTGTAACTCTGTTTTCAAAGCTCAGAACCACGTGGTCACTAGCTCCAAGGGGCCTTTCATATGTGATGTCCTCAATGTCCGAGCTACTCAGGGTGAACATGAGGTCAAGGCTTGCTGGTTCATCCTCCTTTCTCTCTGGTAGTGTTCCTAACATGTTGATGCATGAGGTTTACCAGTACCATATCCATCATCTTGGCTCTCTTTTGGGACCCCTATGTGGCTCCAGGTTTTCCCAATCAATCTCCTTGTAATTAAAATCGCCCATAACTAGTAACTTTGTTCTGCCCGTGTGAGCTCTTCTGGCCACCTCAGCTACTTACACAAAACTGCAATGACTACTTTGTCCCCCCAGACTGAATTGTACCTATGTAATCTCTCTCGCCAATTTCGTCCATTTCTTCCATTTCCTTAAACCCCCCTTCGGTTTTTAATGAGCAGTGCAACTCCTCCTCCCCCCCCCCCTCTGCTCCTATCTTTCCTCAGGATCTGATATCCAGGTGGGAAGACTGCATTTGTTATCCCAGTGAGTTTTGTTTCTGTGACTAGGATCTGGGGACGTCTCCTTGATTCTTTCCTTCCACTCCTGACATTTATTCCATCCACATTCGTATGCCAAAGCCTTCAACTTCTTTTATAATTCTGTGGTCTGGGGAGAACATTGAGGTTGGGGGAGTGGGAGCCCTGGTGGGGACCTGTGGGGGGTTGCTTAGGGGTGGAGTTTGTGATGAGGGGGTGGGGGCAGAAAGTACAGTGTGGGGGTTTTGCTTTAGAATGTTTGGTTGCATTGGGGTTGTCATGGTTAGGGTCCTTCTGTGGGTGGTTCTGAAGGTGGTTGTGTTTAATCTTCCTCCTGAGTTTGGGTTCTCCTGCTCATCTCCATCATTGCCTCTTGTTTCTCCTTGCATCTTTGTACCTTCTCTTCGTTTCTGCCTTCTTGTCTTCTGTCTTGGTCAAGGTTTATCCTCTGGTACCTCGGTATGTCCCTTAGTCGTGCTTTCTCTTGCAGGATCCTGTTTCAAGCCGATTCTGCCTTGAAAATCACTTTGGCTGGTTTTTTCCTCTTGCAAACCAACAAGTTCTCAGAAAATTTGTCAACTGGGTCATGTCATCCTCTCCTATTGCTTTCATGATGTTTTCAATTGCTTTCAATCATCCCATAGACAAAAACTAACCTCTCCCTTTCGTCCTCCCACTGTATTTCCCTTTGCATCCCCTGAGACGATTTAGTTCCTTCTAATGAAGCATTCCTTCAATCTCTTCTTTAGCTGATGTTCCTGTGCTCAGTGGCCTGCTGTTTTTTTTCTCCTCAGCTCTTCCTGGGCACTGCAGTGGTCTGTTAGAGCCTCTGCATATAGCTTAGCTCCTTCATTGTAATTACTCTCCTCATTTGTTCCTGATGTGCTCCTCGTCTTTTCCCAGGCTCCATGGTAGTCTGATAGGCCCTCTACATACAATATAACTCCTTTGTTCCCTACAGTCCCCTCGTCTTTGACTGATGTAGCAGTTCCTGATGTCATGCCTGTACTGCTCTTCGGTTCTTTACTGTTTCAGATTTTTTAGTTCTTCTAAGCTCTGTATCTTAGTTGCTTCTGCTATGGCTTATAGCTCCCATTTCCTGCTCTCAGCAGCTATCCTCTCCTATAGTCCAATGGTTCTCCTTCCTGCTCTTTGGTAGCCTGTGTGTGTTACGTGTGTGTGTGTTACGTGTGTGTGTGTTACGTGTGTGTGTGTTACGTGTGTGTGTGTTACGTGTGTGTGTGTTACGTGTGTGTGTGTTACGTGTGTGTGTGTTACGTGTGTGTGTGTTACGTGTGTGTGTGTTACGTGTGTGTGTTTACGTGTGTGTGTGTTACGTGTGTGTGTGTTACGTGTGTGTGTGTGTGTTACACGTGTGTGTGTGTTACACGTGTGTGTGTGTTACACGTGTGTGTGTGTTACACGTGTGTGTGTGTTACACGCGTGTGTGTGTTACACGCGTGTGTGTGTGTTACACGCGTGTGTGTGTGTTACACGCGTGTGTGTGTGTTACACGCGTGTGTGTGTGTTACACGCGTGTGTGTGTGTTACACGTGTGTGTGTGTTACGTGTGTGTGTGTTACGTGTGTGTGTGTTTTACGTGTGTGTGTGTGTGTTACGTGTGTGTGTGTGTGTGTTACGTGTGTGTGTTACTGTGTGTGTGTGTTACGGGTGTGAGTGTGTGTGTGTTACGGGTGTGTGTGTTACGGGTGTGTGTTTTGTGTTTTACGTGTGTGTTACGTGTGTGTGTGTGTTTGTATGTTGTGGTGTGTGTGTGTGTGTGTGTGTGTGTTACGTGTGTGTACGTAAGAAGGGTGTGGTAGCAGGACAGTAGTAGTTAAGACATGTCAAGTGACTGCGGTGGCGAGTCTGGGAAGTGAGATTTGTTACAGTCTTAGAGATAATGCAATTTTTATTGTGTAATTGAGGACAATGAGGTCATTTACTCTATTCCCAGCGGGGGCCGTGAAATGTGGACATTGAAGAAACCCCCTATACCTTCAAAACACTTCTGAACAAACATTTTATGCCAGCAGATGCGACAACCAGAACATCTTCGTGGATCCTATGAGCATCAGCCACCCTGTGATAAACAAGAATAAAGTCTGGTTACACGAGAACCCGTTACACGGAATCACAAGTGGCTGGAGTTAACCCTAAAGGGTGACGCCACGCGTGTGTGAGAACCCCATGCACACCACGAAGTGTCTTTAACACACTGTTACATAGAATAAAGACCGTTGTGTTATCTCAGTGACCGTAGCTTTTTGATGCTAAGACTAGCAAGTGTAGCTTGTTTATGTTGAGCTAAAACTCCTGGGCCTATTCAAGGTCTTTATCTCAAACTCTCATCCTACATCTCTCAAGGAAAATGAACAGCAGCTCTGGTTGTTTCCTGGCACCTCAACTACGTTCTCATTCCCTGAAGTACAGGGGGCTGCTGATATAGAATACAAGTAATACTTTTCTTGAATAGATCACCGACCGATACAAGTGTAGAGAGGTAAGCCAGAGAAATTCTCTGCCAAATGACCAAAATCTCTATTGAGTGTTCATATAACTTAGAATCTGCGTCAAGAGAAATACCAATATTTCTTCGAACAAAAATACCACCAGCACAAGGATAAGGTGAGTCTTTCCTTCTTAGTCCATGAAATTTGAGTTTTTCTCTCCTTCCCTGAATCAAATCCGTTTACCCACATTCCTCCAGTTCCCTAGGCTCTACATAATCCTTACGGATTTTGCTTCCTCGTGAATATAAGAAGATATTTAGGATTCTATTAGGCGCCCCAGGCTTGAAGATGTTTTACTCGGCTCATCTTGGTTTCTGATAGGTGTACATGAGGTGGTTGTTATAACATGGAAGTATTATAGGTAGTGGAAATCTTCAGAAACTGAGCTGATTTTAATTTTAATTTAATTGACTTAGTACTAAATGACACGCAGGAGTGCTAGTTTATACCAGTATTGCAAATGGATTTATACAACGCACTTTACGTAGTTGCCTCAGTGAAAGTACAATGTAACTTTATCTCCAAACATGTAACTATATTCAAACTAATGTTTACATATTTTTTAAATACAAATTTCACATTTTTTAATAGCATTTAATCTTGAATAATTATTTTTCTCTATCTATCTATCTATATATATATATATATATATATATATATATATATATATATATATGTATATTAATATACATACACTTATTTATTAATACACACACACATTTAATTCTAGTCGCTCTTTATAAGGAATTTTCTTAATTGCAAGTCTTTATCATTTCTTTATTTCATTTCATGCTCCCCATTTTCATCATTCTCCACTTTAAAGTGATTGAAAGAACGGAGATGTGGCTGCAAGGTTGAGTGGAGAACTGATGTTTAAATCAAGTTTTTGATTCCATTACAAATGGTTATGTTCTAAGAAGTTTTAAATTTCAGGAGAATCATAATTTAAGATGGATCAAATCTTTGTGTAAATCTTTCATCATAACGAGGTAATCCTTCGAGGATTAGCTCTTAATGAAAGCTTTTATTCTAAGGAATTGCAGCTGCCTTCCCTTAATATTGTTTCTGTTTTAAGTTTAAAGCATATCGGCCACATCAGGGCCATTAAGGCTGTTACCTGTTCATCATAAGAATTGCTTAACCCCTTTGTATATACTATTGAGTATATATTCTGGATAAATTAAAATGTATAACGAGAAAAATGAGTGACATATACTGAGTAGATACGTGTGGATGCTCTTGCAGGAAGGGTAGTCCCTCGTCAGCGTCTCCGGCAACAGGTGGTGACGAGGCGACGTCCTGGCTAAATCGCCCTTCAGGAGAAGGTGAGCTGACCTCTTAAGTCTCTTAAGTAAAAAAACTCTTACTTGTGATGTAATTTAAATACTGTTTGAGATGAATATCCATTGGCTATTTCATGCAGATGAAGGTAAAGACAAAAAGTTTGAAATAACTGACTGGTTACATTATTAAGACACAATCTTACTATTGCAGGTATGTGTAATTTTACAGCTCCTCGAGGGACAGTTACTCGTTGCTTGACAGGTATGTTGTCATACTTTAGTTCAGTTTCTTATAAAAACATCACGTCTGGCCGTGCACAACACCATTCTGTTATTGTGGGTTTGCCACAGATTGAGGACGACGATTGCCGCGCTTTCGCCTTGTATTGGTACAGTTGGTAAACCATTTTTGTTCTAATCGAGAAGAACTCGAACTGGACCAGTTCTGGTGTTTAAGCAAAGTTGTTTTCCTTATGGGTTAATTATGCGTGATTTGTCGCTTTTTTTGATGCCTGTTTTAAGAGATACATAATACATGTAATTGTTTATTAGCGCACGAATTATCCTTTTTTAATTTTAATTTTGGTCATGAATTCGTCCCATTTTCCCCGAAGGGAATTAAAAAATTACCAAATTAGGTATCCCTGAAGGAGATGCCTTAAACATTTGCCAGAACTTTTCCTCCATGGTCTTTGTGCATAGAACTGATAAACGCCTATCAAGTAGTTAAAATTTTCGATCGCTGTTTATTACTACTAGGAAAAGTTTATATATTTTCAACACTAAACCTCGCGTGAGCGGCTGAAACACAATGCATGTCGTATGTGACCGGAAAAGCATCACTTGTTTTCTTTTCCACTGAATATATAAGAGAATAAGTTAAAAACCGCACAAATATGAGCAAATTAACACAACACCACACACATACACACACACACACTGGCATACCAAACACACACACATACACACACACATACACACACCACAACACACACACACACACACAAAAACACACACACACCCACACATACACTCACACATAACACACACCACCACATACACACACACACACACATACACCCAATACACACACCCACACACACACACACACACACATACACACACACACACACACACACATACACACACACACACACCACACACACACACACACAAAATGACTACAGCTGTTATTGTATTGGTAATAAGACAACATTCATGTATATGTAGTCTGAATTAATTTTTATACATTGTATTCCATACTTTTCTATGAAACTTATTTACCTTTGATTAAATAATTTACAGTGTTGATGGACATTTCTTAAATGCTCTGCAAATGCCCAATATCCTTTCCAAAAAATATGCTTTCCTTACATTAATTTGCTGCTAGTGCAAGTCTTATTTAAGAAAAATAAATGACACAGTATAGTAGTATTAACTACTCAGATCCTTGCTGCTGGTCTGGCTTACAGCTACCAAACCAAATAAGTAATTTAGTTGTGCCTAGAGTTGCCAAAGAACAACAAGTTTCTAGAAAGCGATGAAGCAAGTTGGATAAGTTAGAAAATTATCCAGACGGAAGCCGCTATCAGACTATCATAGCAACTTTAACAAACAAGAGACAGGATCTTGCTAGTAACATATCACAGAGTTCATAAGCATAATTAATGGTTAGAGGTAAACTTGGCCAGTTTGGTGGGAATAATGAGGATGGGAAGTCGGCCTGACCCGCCACCCTTCCTGCAGGCGTGAGTGACTCCCAGTAATTTATGCACAAGTCTCTGAAGCTCATCTCAGATTCTCTGAAAACATGCAGGCGTTGTAGTCAGAATTAAATGAAAATGCTGTAACTCAAACATGATACGTTTGTTAAACTCATTACTGGCATTACTGCTCCTCATCGCCATGAGGCGGGCCAAACAGCATGGGTTCGAGTCCTTGGCTAGTCGCAGTGCTGTTATTGATTAATACTAATAGTTTGTGGTTTCAATAATATAAAATACTGCTCGTTTGGACAGTACACCAAATAGGGAGTAGAATAAAATTAGCTCAGAGGCCCCCACA